ACTTATGAGCATCCAGGTGGCGTAGCAGGTCATTAACTGCTACAAGTCTCACTTTCTTCTAAAATTTGTTTTTTAAAGCAAGGTATAAAGCAAATCAGTTTCATTATCCCCCTTTTGTGGATCCCAAGACTGATGCAAACAGGGAGAGAGTGATAGATTAAGTTTAGGGTCACTGAGAAAGCCATTGGAGAGGACTGTTTTCCTAAGTCCCTGTACTGATCTGATACTACAGATTTAGAGGCCTGTTTTCTTATTTTGGATTTTAAATGTTCTTCTGTACATCTGTATGAAAATTAGATAGGAGAGGCGGGCATGGTGACGTCTGAACTGACGTTCTACAAAGTGCTATTGAGTAGCCAGTTTAAACCAAATGTATAATACATATTTTCTAAAGGAGTATTTATCTGTCATCTGTTTACATTTTTTTTTTCCCAAGGCAGTCCAGGGAAAACAGACTTTAAAAGAATTTGAAAAGGATTACAAGGAATAAGAAACTGAAAGAAATTAGGGGTGGTTTGGATATAGGGGAGGCAGAAGGATAAGAGCCAGAGTCAGTTTAAATTGCCTTTACAAATACCCTTGTATATTGCTTAAAACTTTCTTGGTTTATGGTGCATACAGTTGCAGGAAAGGCAGTGTTGGTAGCTCTGACTTTTCCGATGATACTGGAATTCTTGCCAATTCTTCTGCCACGCCATTTTTGCTGTCTGTTGGATATGGTGTGTTGGCAAAGAAAGACTGAAGAAAACAATGGTATGGATGGTGAGGAGGTACATTATCAGGACAAGATGCTAACAAAGCTGGATGAGATATTAAAGAATGAGCCATGGAAACTTGGATTCAGCAGGGTAAGTAATGTTAAGCAGGGTAAAAATGTGGTATTTATTACATTTGAGCTTCATTAGAATACAGTGCTGTTTCAGTTATGTTCAGTTTATTAACTGGACATTTGTCGGAGGTACACTTAGTTCATTTGGAAATGGATGATTTACTGGCCTCAGTTTTAGCAAAGTTTTTTTTTTCAATTGGTCTACAATAAATCAGTCTCAGAAGGTTTTTAAAGGTGGTTTTGTTACAACCATTTGCTTAGTCTTATCTGCAAGGAACAGAAAATTAAATATTTGAGGTAGTTGGGCCAAAATTTAAACCCCTCAATTGTACTGTTCACTTTTATACTGGCAAATAAGATTTTCTGTTCTTAATACATAGAACAGTATCTGTGCTTTCATAGTAAGGTAGGTAAGTTACGTTGTAATAGGTCATCTGGTCTAGTTGTTCTCCTTTTTTTATAATGGGATTTGCGGTTGTTGCTTACCTTCTTGTTTTCCTTTGCCACGCTTGCAGTGCAACTTTGCTGCTGCATCTCACCTTAGCAATCCTGTACCTCAGATGGGAGCTATAGCTTAATAGTTCAGAAATGTGATTAGTTAATCCCTCTGCTTCAGCCCCCCAATGCTTTTACTGACAGATGTTCTGACTTGTCTTTA